CACACACACACACACACACACACACACACACACACGTATGCACACATGTGCGCACAGACACAATCTAGGCAACCTGTGATTAATATCAAAACCAACATTTTTTGTATTAAATGGTAAACTTCTAAGTCTTAGATTTTAGATATTTTGTATATCCATTTTACAATGAAAAGTCCTTTTATTTTCTTAATATAATTTCATTTGTTCTTTGATAGTTACATACATGTATGTATACAATATATTTTTAATCATAACCACACCCACTTCCCTCTCCAACTTCCCTCGCATCAACATCCCCTTCTCAACACTGAAGAAAATTGACCTTCCTTCCCTAGCAGCCATCAATGACCAGTAGCTCCTCAGCAGGTGGCCTGTCTCATCCACACTGGAACGCTGATTGGCTTGATCTGGTGCAGGTCTTGTGCTGTCTGCCACACAGCTGCTGTGAGTTCATGAGTGTTGTGCTCCTCTTACATCCAGAGGAGAACTACTTTGGAGAAGTCCTGCCCCCTCAACCTCTGGCTCTTACAATCTTTCAGTCCCTCTTCTGCGTGGTTCCCTTGGTCTTTGTGGGGCAATGTGTGATAAAAAGGTGTCACTGAGGACTGAGAATTCTCCAGTTAATTATTCTCTACACTTTGGTCAGTTGTTAGTCTCCGTGTCAGCCACTGTCAACTGAAACAAGCAGCTCTTCTGATGTGAGCTGCTCTAGTTTGTGGATATAAAGGAAAATATTTAGAAGGCAATTTATCACTGTGTCTATTTAGCCAAATAATAAGAATAAGCTCTTTCCAAGGGCCTGTGGCCTCCCCAGGTTATGGGCTAGGTTTGTAGTAGGGGGCATGAAGTTCTCTGCTGCAGAACAGGTCTTATAAACAAACACAAAATAGTTGGTTGTTTCCATAAGTGTGATACCACTATTACATCAGTGGGTATATCTTGTCAGGCCAGTTGTTACTATAGCTCTCAATAGCTTGGGTAAGACTGGTGACAACTTCTTCCCCTGAAATGTGCATAACACCTTCTTGTACTATGAAAGCAAGCCATGGGTAAGTTAGTTCCCAGGTCAGCACCAGTTTCATTTCTTCATATCTGATGAACCATGTGTGTTTTCAGCAATAGGGTCTTACCATCAAGTTCTGATGGGCAGCCAAGGGCAATGGAAACTGCCCGTATTGTTTGGGAATCTCTGGGACTCCTCTGGTCAACAACTCAATGAGAGGTGTCCACATCTGGCACTGGGTTTGTTGTGGTTGTTCATTTGTTTGATAACTTATGACTTATGGAAGGAGCATTATCCCCATATGTAAGGCAACTCCACTTATACTCCTATCTATCTATCTATCTATCTATCTATCTATCTATCTATCTATCTCTGCATATATATGGAAGCTTATAAAATAGTAGGTTTCCATATGGCTTTTTTTTTTCAAACAGCATTAATATTAGTTGTCCTCTTCCTCCTAGCCCTCTGGCCCTACTCTCCTACATCCCTCCACACTTAAACAATCCTCCTCCCATTATTCCCATTTCCTACTTTTATACCACTTGTGTTTCATCCTTATTCCTTATGATTGGCCCCCACCAATGGGCCCTTTCCTTCTATACTTTTCTGGCTTCTATAGGCACTTCAAGCTAAATATTTATAATTACCTGGCAGGGGAGAAACCTGGGTTTTTCTCAGGGCAAGGCTTATCCATTGCATTCCTGATGTGTGCTGGCCCCTGTGATTTCCACAAATGTAGGAAACTCAACTGCATCATCTGTGGTACTAGGGGGCTGTGTGTGCTCTTCCGTATAAAACAAACATACGCAAAAATCTAAAGAGCCAAAGCCAGGATCCCCATATTGGAGAGAATATGTAGCATTTGTTTTTCTGGGGGGCACTGCTAGTTTGTTTTTGGTTTGTGTATTACTCTTCTGTTCCTGTGATAAGACACTGTGACCAAGGCACCTTAGAGAAAGAAAGGCTTATTTGGGGCTTGCAGTTGCAGAGGGATAGGAGCCCATCACTGTTATGATGGGTAAACATGAAAGTAGGCATCTCCCTGAAATAGGGAGCCAAGACAGAAAACTGGGAATAACAAGGCTTTTATTTATTGTTTTTATAAATTTTATTTAAATTAGAAACAAACTTATTTTACATATCAATCCCAGTTCCCTTTCCTTCCCATCTTCCCATTGACCCACGCTGACCCCCCATCCCATCCCCCATCCACTCACTCCCCAGGGAGGATGAGGCCTTCTATGAGGGATCATCAAAGTCTTTCAAGTCATTTGGGGCAGGGCCTAAGTCCTACCCCCTCCCCTGTGTATCTAGGCTAAGAGAGTATTCCTCCATGGGGAATATGCTCCCAAAGTCCATTTGTGCACTAGGGATGAATACTGGTTCCACTGCCAGAGGCCCTATAGACAGCCCAGGCCTTCTAGCTGACATCCACGTTCAGGGGTCCTAGTTTGGTCCTATGTTGGTTCCCCAGTTGTCAGACAGGGGTGTGTGAGCTCCCACTTGCTCAGGTCAACTATAACAAGGTTTTTGAACCTCAAAGCCTATCCCTAGTGACATACTTCCGTTATTAAGGATACACCTCCTAAGCATATCCAAACAGCACCATCAACTGTGGACCAAGACTTCAAATGTCTGAGTCTATCTATGGGTGACATTTTCATTCAAACCATCATAATTTAAAAGCATTGTATTAGAGTTAATTAATTAAAATACTTGAAGAAATATAAAACTGAAAGGGAAGAGTTTAGTATAATCACCTTGTTTATAAATAACAAGATTGAAATTGTTGATCTCTCTGGCTTAGTTTCTAAAATCCTCAGCTTTGCAAAACATTGGCTGTGTCATAGTGGTAACACGATGAGATGAGGGGGATCAAGGTCTAAAGTCAGACTTACTAGAGTCACAGTTTGTATCTCCCTTGCCTAGTGTGACATTGGATGAGCTAGCAACTCAGTGTTCCCATTTCTTTATGTGTTAAGTCTAACAGGACTTTACTGACCATTTTAGCTATTAACATTATATGCATTGACTATTCAGTACAAAAATTGCTACACAGAATTCAACAAACCTCATCTGTAAATGATCAGTTATTGTGATTGTTTAGGGATCAACATGCACTCTAGAATTATTTCTGTTTAAGTATAGCTATGGTTATTATGTCTTCAAATAGATCTACAGGTTTTTGTACACCCCACTTCCAAAGGTGGAGCCTAATTGTCCTTACCTGGAGAAGGTGGCTCTTGGTGGCCTGGTCTTAGAAGATAGAGTAGAGGAGAAACAATGGTGAGCATCTGCTAAAAGACTCATGAGAAACTACTGGGGCTTTATCCTCCTCTCTGACTACTCATTCTGGGGAAGTTAGCCGCCATGTCATTAAAAACAACAACAACAGCAACAAAAAATGACATGTCCGTTTGTCTCCTTACTCTAGCTCATCTCAGGCTTTCAGGTGACTGCAACTCACTCCAGCATCTTACCCATCACAACCTCATGAGCTAGCCTGCTACAGAACAGCCCATCTTTGCTGTTCCAGATTCCCCCACATATAGGAGACAACGTAGGTTACTGTATGATGACAAGATACAAAGTGATACAACATTAGGAACAGATTGATAAGAAATCAACAACTATCATTATCTCACTTGAATAACTTGTAAAATCTGGACCTGGAGGATGAATGTTGACAGTGCCAGGCCATGGGCAGTGTGAGAAAGGAAGGGTGTGAGTGCATGTGGGCACTGTTTCTAAGCAGCTCCATTCCCTTGAACTACATGGGTATCCTCTTTGATTTTTTTCCTCCCCTTTTTCTTGTTGCAGTGTTTCTCGCTTCAAATTATATTCTGTAGGACCCTTTCTATAGGCAAAGTCAGGCTTCTGTGACTTGAAAAGTGTGTGCATAGCAAATATTTTTGCCTTTTTCCAGATTTCAAGTAAAACTGAATTGAAAGCACTTACCTTTTTCACATTGTAATACATTCTTACTACTTATATTAAATTTGAAAAATGTATAATATGTTAAGGATGTGGAGTGAAAACCACTAAGTATAACTACCCAGAGACAAACACTATTGCCATTAATTTTCTTCTCTCCAGATTTTAAATAAAATATCTGTGTGTATAGTTGTATTTGGAGTTGAGATAGCTCTGATTTTAAAATGTCTGCTATGCTTCTCAGATTATTTTAAATTTTACCCTCTCTCCTTTTCAAATAGTATATATATATATATATATATAATACATATATATTAGATTATTATATTATGATCTGTGTAATATCTATTGTGAACCAATTAATTCATCAGTGTTGGGGGGTTGCTACTATAAAACTTTTAAATTCAAATTATCATTATGCATGTCAGTGTGTATTAATTTCTCTTTTTAATTGGTTTTCATGGAGACTAATTTTTTCTTTTTACTTTCTTGTCCATAATATTCTACAAGAATGGCAATCCTCAGAATCCCTATTGTGACGGAATTGAAGGGGTCATGGAAGCTTATTACAGAAGTCTGAAATCTGTGCAGCTGTATGGGCCAACCAACTTTGCCCCTGTAATAAACCATGTAGCAAGGTAAGTAGAGAGCAGGCAAGGTGCTTGGGCTGGTGCAGGTTCATACATTGGTGCCTATAACCACCCATGACTGCACCACAATTTCATTGTCAATGTGTTTTCTTCTCATCGCCTCCCAGAGAGTTAGGAAGTAGATGCAGGTGGTCCCCACCAAGTAATCGACAATACTTTACAGAGAACTTTATATCAGTTTCAAATGAAGAAGCATGCACCAGGCTGTTAGGACCTGTCCTTTCCAACCAAGGTCCTTTTAAAAAGAATACGTGAGAGCAAACAAGAGTGAAGTGTCTGAGTCATTCATATCAATGTCACGTCCTGTGGTGGCATAAAAATAATGAGACAATCCCATTAAGACAAGTGCTTTCTTTCTGTGATATATAGGGCACTTTCTTTCAATCTCTCTGAGGTTAATACAAAAGCTAATTTTGTTAATTCCCAGAAGTCTGCTGGTATGTAGTACACGGTACTAGGAGGAGAGAGTTTGCTCATGATTCAGGCGGCTCGTTCTGGGGAAAATGTTAAAACATAAACTCTATTTATACATACTGATGTTTCATTCATACATAAATGGATTAGATATCACTTTAAAAATCCCTGAAAAAAATCTGGCTTAATGTTAGTGGGAAATCCTGAAAGACTCTGTCATAGTTTGAAATTAGCTAAGAAGGTCTAGTCCTATACCTTTATGAATGTACAGTTACAAATAGAAATTAGTCTGCATTCAATATAAAAAGGCAACATAAGACCGCAGTTCTCAGAACATGCTGGGTTCTCATCCTCTCTGTTGAATGTGACCAGAAATTCAATGTCTTCTATCTGACACGGCATGGGATTTGGAAGTATGTTACAGTGTCTTAGCAATAAGGGCTGACTTCAGAGTGACAAAGATGTAAGAGGCCACTTCTCTATGGTGACTATTGGTTTTCGATTTCTCGAATACTTCCTTCTATAATTTATGCTAACATATGAATTCTGAATCTCAACATTATTTGTTCATAACAACTAACATTGATTTTTGATTAATTGACATTTACTTGTGCCTCTCTGTTCCGCTATGGTGTGCATTTCTGTTCCCAAGTGATTCATTTCACAATCAACTATTTGGTCATTATCTATAAATTGAAAATTTATATTGACTTCATAAGTTTCCTATAGGACAAATGTTTCATTTTAAACCATTCTAGTGTATTGACGACTGCCAAGAAAAACAGGATCAAAACCATATTAATGCAAAATAATTTTAATTGATTCCCTAACACTGCCATACACATCACATTTAATAAGAGAAACATAAAAGAAAAATGACAGAAGCTATTTTATATGGTTTCATGCCCATTGTTCTGAATATGCTAATCAGTACTTACGATTAAGTTCTTCATTTGTTATCCTGGTATTCTAAAAGTTAAATTTGGATAGAAATTTTCTATATGCTTTTTTTTTACTTCTATTTAAACCATAGTATTGCAGTGGGGACATGTGAAGTGCTTGCTATACACATATGTAGACCTGAGTTCTCATCTCTAGAACCCAGACTTTGTGACTCATGTCTATAGCCCCAGTGCTGCGGTGGGATAGAGAGACAAATAGATGCCCAGAGCTCATTGGCCAGCATCCTAACTAAACCGATGAACTCTAGGCTCAGTGAGAGATCCTGTCTCAAAAAGTAAATATGGAAAAGGATGGAAGATGACACCTGACATCAGTCTCTGGCCTCCAATTCCCTTTCGCAGGTGAGCACACCTCACATATGCCACACACATGCAAAACAAAATGAAATAGATGAATGAAAGTAGAGCATAATAAGACAGCACTCTATAGTCCCTGTTGATACTCTGTTGCCATTTCTGTGTGCCACTCAACACTTCCTAAGTCTCAAATATACAAGTCACTGTCCACCATAGCTTTCAGATCCTTCAAAAAAAGCCATAATCTAATAGTTTATTATTATGCTTAAAATGGCTAAAACAGCCAAAGCTGGATTTGTATCACTTATCTTTTCTTCCCAGGACATTAAAAAGTTCTATCTGATGACCTTTTAATATAAATCTCTAAAATAAATGGGTTTTCCCATTTTTTATCTTAAAATTATATTTAATTTTGAATAAAAATATTTCATATATAAATATATTTGAATATAGATTATTTTTATATGTAAAATTATTTATATGTAAAATTATTTTTAATATGTAAATATTAAATTGACTTAAGTATAAATTATTTAATTGATATCTTCTTATGGTAGACAATCTCTGCCATGTCTAAAGTCATCCTGGAACTTCATCTGCTGAACGACAATATTCTATTTGTTTCTTTATCCAAAGCATCAGCATAATTAAAATGTGCATACACTCTGTTTATATAGTTTCTTGAATATGTCATCTCTCATGAATGTATTTCAACAGTAGGCAGCGCCAGCCTCCCATATAGGAAGTAAACACTTGACAAGTGGATAAGTGCTGACTTGGGGCTGGGATGGACTCAGCTGCTACTGTGTTTGTCTAGCATACACAAAGTCCTATGCACATACCCAGCAACCTATAAACTGAGTAAGGGGAACATACATGTAATCTCAGCACTCAGGAGGTGAAGCAATAAGTTCAAAGGTTAAGGTTATCCTTGGTTGCTTAGCAAGGTTGAGGACACCTGAGATACATAATACCATATCTCAAAAACAAAACAAAATGTCTACTAGCTGATTTCTGATATACTAATATCAGATGTTACCATTAAAATCTACTTGTATCGAAGTCTGATCAAGTAAATCCATTTTTGTCTGTTTGCTTGTTTTATCCTTCAAGGGTGTTTCCTGCATGAGTGAGATGTAGGCTGTTTATTATATACCTATTGGCATTTTGAATTCTCTTTAGGAATAGCAATTGTGTGTACACCCTCATTTTTGACTGATTTCTCAGTATTAACTTACTTTGAGATAATAATAATGGGTTGTCAAAAATGTGAAATGGATAAAACACAAAGTACCATATTTGCAACATTTATGGGTCTATATTCATTTTGGAAACTTCACACACCCTGCTTCCAATTCATTGCATTCCCAGTGGTATTTACTCAGTGGGGTTCAGGGAATGTTTCAAACACTATAAAAATGTTTCTCAACATCTGTTGATGACTTATGTCTAGCTAAATGCAAGCAACTTAGCCTGGCATCAGGATTTCCTGTGTCTAGCTAACATTCCTCTTATGTAGCTCTGCTTCCATTGCAGAGAACCGTTATTGTTGCTTCAAGTCTGCCAACTCCTTCTCCATACTTATTTATAGTGAATACTAGTTTAACCCTGCTCCATTTTCAACTTGGCATTTATCCTTTTGTTTATTTGTTATTTTTAATATTGAGAACATTCCAGAATCCAGATAACCAGTTAAATTTAGTTTTAATTTGTTAGGAACTGACATTTTTATTTTGGAGTTTCTATAATTAATTTCAAAATAATTTGAAGAGTACATTATGTTTGAATTCTTCCATCTGTGTGATCAGTCACTGAAATCATATCAACAGTCATTATTGAGGCTATGGCATCTCTGGCAGCAATCTCTGTGCTACAGAATGGATTCATGCTTGCCCTTCACGGTAGTTCCATGAGGTTCCAGCACTGTCATTACTCTTATTTTTCTGGTGGATGCAATATATATGTGTAAAGTGACCATTTGTACAGACTAAAATTCAAACCATGACAATCAAACTCAAAGTCATTGTGTTGCTATGCCTTGCACCTTTGCCTGAAATCTCTACCAAGGAGGTGAAAAACATGCAGAAGGCTGGAGAGTTTTCTCAGTGGTTAGAGCACTGCCTGCTCTTCCAGAGGACATGGGTTTGATTCCTAGCATGCACACAGCAGCTCACAACAATCTCTAACTCTATTCCCAGTAGATCTGATATCCTTTGCTAGTCTTCTCAGTGAACAGATACACATGTAGTCTAAACATCCATACACATCAAATAAGTAAATAATTGAAAAAAGACAACAAAAAATAAACACAGAAGGCAACAAAACACAGCTCCCACTTCTGCAGGATCTCTTGCTCACCTCATTATGCAGTTAGAAGCAGTTTGGGTGGCAATTTCATTAATTAAATTTTCTTATCTTTGAGATGAAATGTTTAAATGTATGCGTCCCTTTACTCAGTAGGAAGATGCATAATCCACTTTTTAAGTGATAATCTAATTATTTAAACAACACATGCCTGAACTTTCCTTCATGCTTTCAGTGTCCCTGTGAGCTAATGAAAAGCTAGAAAAATACTTCACAAATCTTAGTGAACCATTTCTGAACTTTCCTGAAAAATATGCTAGGAACCATCACAGAAACTCTAGGCAAATATATTCAAATTCTGAAACCCTGAGATAGTTAATGTTTCTCACATTTGTCATAGTAATATTAACATATAAATTATAGATTGCTATATTCCAGAATAGGTAGTGATATGGCTGTTAATAAGAGTTTTAATTATACTGTCGATTCACAGTTCCATTAAGAAAGAAACTTCTGTAATATAATTTGATCTACAAGCCCGTGTCTCTTTGTCACTTTCTGAAAGGAGCCTGAAGTATGGCCCACCAGATACATTCTACTTCATACCTCCTGTAACATATTAATTACTTTAATTATAAGTATCATTAATACTTTCATGAAGTAACTAAATTAAAAATAGTAGTGTGAGATTGATTTATCTGAAATTTAGATTTACTCTCCAAATAAATGATGCAATTATAAAATAAATGCTACAGAAATGGGATAGTTTCAAAACATTTATTTCAGTGCAGAGAGCAATTAAGCAAGAGAATAGATAGATCAGCTCTTATGCACAATGTAATTTACAATAATTTTAAGTATATGAAACCTTACAAACATATTTTATGGCATTAATTATAAAGCACTATTAAAAGTTTCTAGGGTTATAAACTGCTAGGTTTCTGAGAACTTTTAAGAAGAATAAGAACTGCAGAGAAATGCTAGGTTTGTTGTGATAGGCTTCAGTCTCTGTCCCCCTCTCTACATACTGTGAGCACAGCCTCTCCTCTGAGGAGTGAGATCCAGAGTGCTAAGCCATTCAAGGTGGGAGTCTGCATTCATAAAACTCAACTTCTGTAACCATAAGAAATCTGCCATTTTCAGCAGCTTTGGTTTGTCTAAAGTAGCATGAAGGTGATGCTACTGCACTTCCAGAAGGATTCCGATTCCAATTGCCAGTCTTCTATTAATCACACAAAATAGAAAACTGCATTAAACTATAGTCAGTAATAGATGCTTTTTCTTTTTTTAAAAAAAATGACAGTTCAAATTTTGAAAACTGAAGAGTTGGAAATTGTAGGATTGTGTTTCTTGAAAGTGTTCCCCAGTGATTGTATTTCTGTCACATTCATATGATTCATTGGTGTTCAGGGTCAGTTGTTTTGTGGTGTCCTTGTGGGACTAATCCAAGCGTCTCTTCTATCTGTGTAAGTGAATGGGCTATGTCAACAGCCATTTATCAATAGCATGAGTACACACTAGTTTCTTTTGCACCTCAGAAACTTGCACATATTCTTATTCATGTGACTTCTAAATCCACTTCAATATGATATGTTGTTTGCACCCAGCATGTTCAAGCAGGATCAGTTAGGATCTTTTATGTTAGGATCATTTTTGGGGGCCTGTAATGCAATATTTTAAAATCACTTATTCTGTGATCTGGTTGATAGTTTTTGAGATAACAAGGCCTTCTTGTTGCCTCTTCTGTCTCCTAAGAGATGTGTAAGACTCACTTACCATTGAATATGAACTAACTTATGTGGCCAGCTCTAGGCCAGTTGGAGACCCAGCACATGTGTGCCAATGCGCATACTTTCTCTAACACACATGCACATGCATATGTGCACCCACACATACACACATAAATATGTGCATATACATACATGCACATAAACACGTGAACACAGTATACATATACATACATGTATATATACCCATGCACATTCATATGTGTACATGCAGACATGCATGCATATGTGCATACACATATAAACACGTGAACACGCATGCACGTATACATACATATACAGATAGCTACATGCATATTCATATATACATACATGCATATGTGTATACACATGCACATATACACACATGTACATGTACACACATGCACATTCATATATGCACACACACATGCACACATTCATATGTGTATACACATAAACATATACACACGCACATATGCACACGTGTTCGTGTACACACATGGACATTCATGTGCACACACATACACACACGCATAATGTGGATATACACATATATACACATAAACACATGAGTACACATGCGCATATATATACATATGCATATACACACATGCACATTCATATGTGCACACACATGTACTCATGCGTATGTGTATACACATATGTACACATAAACATACATACACATGCACATATACACACATATACATTTACACACATGCTCCTGTATGCTCACACACACACACAGAGAACTGTGGATATACCATCTATTTGATTTTTCATCAAAGTAAAAATCTCTATAACTTATGAAAGGGTTGTGTCAGAGGATACACGCCAGTTGGGTTGTCTCAGTACGTACATGCCAGTGGTGTTTAGTATAGTCACAGCGATAGGCAACATTGCCTCTGTATAGTTCAAAAACAAGAATCATTTAGTCATCACTTAATTTGCAGAACCACAATTTACATTGAGGACCACACATATGATTTATTCATATAGTAACACAAAGACATAAATAGTATCGTCTCAATTTTCAAGATAAAAAAACTGAGTTCTGATGACTTAATTTTTGAAGGCTTGCACATAATAAGTTGCTGCCAGACAGGTCTTTTTAAAATCTATATCCAGTCCTTCCTTTTTATGAAAGAAATCTCCGTCCTGGAAAATTCTGTTAGTGAAAACACTTCTAAGAAAGCTAAATATGTCTGTGTCCTGGCAGGCACTAAAACTGCAGCTAATCTGGTTGGTTATTTCAGAAAAATATGTACTTAATGAGACTTCTGACATATGTGTAAATATTTTCTCAATATGAGAAGGCTTGTTGGTCATGCCTGTGGCTACTCTGTGAGTGGAGAAATAATAAAAAGGAAAGGAAAGGACATGACTACTCCTAGGTGTGGTGGAGGAGAAAATTCACTGTAGATATGCAGGAGAGCATGGTCAGAGTCAGGGACATCTGGGAGAGTCCAGAGTGGACATGACCAGACTGAGCTGGGCCTTGTGGGAGACAGAAAGAGGAAGGAAGAGTGGAGAGAGGGGAACCAGGTGTGGAAGCCAGGAACTGAAAGGTACAAATGGCGAGGGATGCCAAAATATCTGAATTATATGGGGAGGGGCAGCCCGCCTCCTGGGCTGAACCAGGGGTATCCTAGCCATACCGTGTAACAAATAGGAACTGAGGGATGCTGGGAGAGCCTTGCAACCAGGTCTACTTTGACATGTTAAATAGGCACCTCAGGCATTTGTGGCAGGTTTGAAATTTAACACTCTGGAGCCCTCATTTGGATCTCCTCCTGTTCCTGCTGTTCTTACTTTCCTGTTGTTTTTCAGGTATGCATCTTCTGTAAAAGATGGCTCCCAGTATTTTGTGCTCCTGATTGTGACAGATGGTGTGATCTCAGATATGGCTCAAACTAAAGAATCCATAGTAAATGTAAGTAGGGCCAGGATCTCAGCGGCACCAGTGACACCACAGTGCCACTTAGGTTGAAAACAAAATCTATTTTAGGTGGCTACATGGAGAAACAGAATGGCCACACCATTGCAGCAGAACTTATTCTTAGAGTATCCAGAAATCATCACACATTTGCTGCATCAGGATCAGGGAGGTGGGGATTACCATCATGTATAAGAGGTTTATTTGATTTTCAAACAATAGACTGGTTTGTAGTCCTGTACACTCCTAAGACTAGGACTTATCATGCCCTAACATTCCATTCCATGAGAATGACTAAACCATTCTCTACTTTTACAGTTGGCTTGAAGCCATCCTGTGCATTACAATCCCAGTTATATGTTTTGTTTGTTCATGATTTTTTTATTGTCTTTTGAAAACTAACTATAAAATCTGTTTACCAGATGGTGATCTGCTAAATTATACCTGTTTTACCAATCTTTTCTATGCCTGAACTTGGCATTGCTTGGCATAGACTAATATTTAATTAAGGATGAGTTGAAAGGATGGGTTGTTTGTCAAGCCTCACAATTTTAGTAACAGAAAAATATTATTATTTAGTGTGAGAAAAAATTAAGTACATGTAGGAAATATTCAAGTGATTCATAATTTTTCTTTGGGAGACAACCCAATTTCTTTATATATATATATTTATATATATATATCAAAGCTAGACCCTTGAATTTCTGTTTCCTTTCTAGTTAGTTCTATTTGCACATAACATACTGACTTAATAATGAATGATTAAATCAAAAGAGACAATGTGCTAAGAAAGAGTTATTCATAGTTCAATGACTTCCCAGCGCAAGATGTTCTCACTTTGAGTGCTGTACATCTGTTGCTGATTCTGTTGAGTTTTTTTAAATTATATTTATGTATTTTTGTGTATGTGTGTAGACAAACATTTATGATGCATATGTGGATGTGAGAGGACAACTTGCAGGGGTCAGTTCCCTCCTTCCATCATATGGCTCCCTGGGTTCATCAGGCCATCACATTGGGTCATAAAAGCCTTTACCCACTGGTCATCTCCCAAGCCCCAGTTGATAATTTTAAATGGAATATAACTTAAGTACTTCATATGATGAAAACCATGCTGCAACATCGAGCATTTGGTCTCAATAGTTCATAGATATTTAATGCATAAATGAGTAATGTTAAGCTTATCTTCATAGCCATTTGTTCGTGCTTGCTAATTCACCTTAAGGATAATTTCTGATAATAATTCACTGTGATAATGACTTAATTTTGAACATGTTATTAAAAGCTATCTTAATGAGCATCTGTGGGAAATGTCAGAGAAAAATCAGGAAACCACTTTCTTTTTGTCTTTAAGTTCTAAAAAGCTATATTAAAATTTCAAGGACTTGCAAATAAAAGGCAAAAATAGCCAGGTCCAAAGTCTGTACATTATTTATATGTGCTTTTATTTTTCTTAAGAACTAAATGTCTTTATTGAAATCTAATTGTATCATTCTTCCTAAAGGCCTCAAAGCTTCCAATGTCAATAATTATAGTAGGTGTTGGACCTGCAGAATTTGATGGTAAGTAGCATGATTTCAGTGGTGTTGTGGTGCTATTACATCCCTATGAGCCTCAGCTGTGTAAAACCTGTGATTGAGTTTGTGTATAATGTCATCACAGGCATAAATATAGTTCACACTCAAATTAGAAGACTGTCATTGGGTAAGACACCTTCCCTCTAGTTTATACATTAATTGAACATGCACCTTTGCCATTTCATTAGAGTTTTCGTCTTGAAACAATTCGCAAGACTGACAGAATACTAAATTGAGCTTTGGTTCTTAAGGCAAAGAACACTCCAGGGAAGCAACTTTGTGGGGGAAGAGTGTGGACAGCCTTTAAAGAACAGTGCTAAATTAATGAATCATTAAGTTGTGAGTGGAAATATTAACATAAGCACAATATGCTAACTTAATGTGATTCCAGCTTCTGGCTAGTTGATAGAATTAGCTTACAAACAAAGAGCTCCATCATGTGAAAGTACGGAGAACACTAACAGTGGAACTGAGCTGGCTGCATAAATGATGCTGGACTGGCTAAAGGAGGCTCAGCCTTTTCAAATGCCGGTGAAGTGACAGCTTTTAATCTAACTAGTGACCCAAGTATAGTTCTTTAAAGACAGCTTGTCACTGGTCACCTGGCTAATTCCTTTTAAGGAATGACACAGAACTCTATTGAATGGCAACTTTAACATCTACACAATTAATTTATTTTACTAACAGTGGCCTTGTATTTAGCTTGTTTCTACAAAGTCTCTTAGTTCTGATTGCAGCAGAAAGTCTGTGAACCACTGCTTTAACCCGTGGGTGGGGCCCGACTGACTCCCTATTCCTTGATGGCTCCAACCCTCTTCCTAGGCTTCCCTGATAGATTTCCTTGGAGCATGAACTGCCCTGAGGCACTGTGTTTGCTCTGTGACAAGCGCTGTGCTGAGAAGCAGAAGACCCTGGAGTCCAGCAGTCATGGTGCTGTAAGGAAGTATCAGGGAAGAGAGTAGACAGGCAGGGAACTTGGCTTCCCAGTAGACTTCCCCAACTCCTAGAAATTAGAGCAACGTTATGATATTGTTCTATGAAAAAAATGTAAGTAGGAGTTAGGGTCCTGCAACACCTAGTTTCTATTTTCCCATCGCAGAAGTTTCAATGAACAGAGATGTTTACTGGCCCACTGCTTTTAAAAAGCTGCTGATCTGGTTCAGATACAATACATGCTTCTCTAGCATAGCTCCCCCTCTTTCCTATCAAATATGTTTCTCCCTTTCACTCCATGACTAAGAAGCAAAAGAAAATTGCTGGTGGATGAGACAGAAAAATCTCTGGCATACAAATTGCAGTTCTCTTGTCAAAAGTCCTCCTTTAGTACTTCAAAAAAAAGTTAAATTAATGCAGCAGCTGCTCTGATGCAAGCAAGGGAAAGGGGATGTAAGTTTATCCTCCCCCCTGTCTCCTATAGCTAGAGAAAGGTACAGGATTGTTCCTACGGGGCACAATCTCTGTCCCTTGGAGCAGACAGTCAGAAGCCTGAAGTGTGGATATGATCCCTTCATCATTATCATCTTGCTTCTGTTGCTCTTAAAGCTCACCTTCCAGTTCATGCCGTCTACAACCTTTAAACTTTGAGCATGCTGAAGAGTGGGAGGGAATGTCTGGAATCTCTCCTATATGCAAGATGACTCATTTTCCTCCTTGATGGTAATGAGGCAATAGAGGTTGCAGAGGATAATAATGACAGCGTCTCTGTTGCTGCCCCGAGCCTTGTTCTGGTTTTAGAGCAAGTACAGAGGAACTGTTGCAATTTCTGGACATAGCAGGGAGTACGGCACACCAGCAATGCAGTTATCTCTTGAAGTAATATGAAAGTTGTAAAAGCAAACCCAGATGATAACAGGAGTTGTTTGTTTCAAATATGTGAGCATAATACCGTCTATAGTCCCAGGAATAAGGCACTGGCCTTATTATTGGTGAAACATTGATTTTATAAAACTATGGCATATATTGTATATGCAGGCAAATCTCTTAATCATGGGAATGCTTCAGCCAAAACATTGACTCAATAACATATGTAGGAAGAGAAATTTGAAAACAATGTTTCCTAGCCCAGATACATTACAGGGACTGAAGAAAGGAGTGCAGGGCAAGGATTGTGTTCTGGCTGAGCAGTGCCTTACTGTTCAGGGCCCCTTTTGGGTCTGTTGATGGTCCTTTGTACACAAAATGAATCTTCAGTGACAGAATTACACGTTAAGCACAAGCCAGTTCCCTCATACAATTAATTATTTAGAGAATCCTCACAGCAAACTTAATAAACTCTGGGAAATGTTTCTAATTGCAGCATCGGACATCACCAGCTGCTCTGTTCGGACAGGAATTCTGAATACCAGCTGTTGCAGCCAAAGCTGAGATTATTTCTCAACTAACAGAATTATCATTCCTCACAAAAATCACTTTATTCAGGACTGACTAAATGCCACTTTGTTTTGCAATGGTCTGTGAAGAAAAATTTGGGCACTGTGGACCTTGCAATGTCAATGAGAATGGGGTTCAAACATAAAGGTGATAATTGTTACTGTTTTGTAAATTAGAAAAATAAACCATTAAAATGGATGGGTTTCCCTGCATGTAAGCAGGTAACCCAGATTTAGATTCTATAGGATGGAAAGATGAGCTCAGAGGATGCTTCACAATGCATTAACTCCACCCAATGAGTAACGGTCATTCTTACTCACCGCTTCCTTTAGCTGTAGATTGTGTACTCCATCAGGCTGCTTGGAGAAAATTATTATAGGAACAAAGATTGCAGCTGCCCTCACTATAACTGCACCGGGGGTGCATTGTTGCACACATATGTAGCGATTTCTTAGTTCACACAATTTTATTTCATCGTATTGTATTCAACTAATGACTGTTTTTCATTTGCAAGCAATGGTCGAATTGGATGGAGATGATGTAAGAGTTTCCTCCAGAGGGAAATATGCTGAAAGGGACATTGTACAGGTAAGGATTTAAATCAGCATTACCCATCTCCTTTGTGAAGATCCCATGTCCACCTGGTCTATAAAGACGCAACTTCATTTGCAACCAGGAGTGCTGGGCTCTGTTAGTTTAGTTGACTCCTTCTCCAGGCAGTGAAAGTTAAATAACAGGGATTACAATCTGCATGGAATTGCTTTTCCCTTTGTCTCAGGTTCACTACATGTAAATTGCAAGTGTCAATTGTTATGTTTTCCTAATTTACTCTTAGGAGAAATTGTCATTATGATCTTTAGTAAAATTGGAAGCTAGAAATATAATGAACTTTTTAATCAGTTCAGTTTTTAGTCTTCGTGTAAACTAAACATTTTCTAAAACAGGTGATATATACAAAAAAACAAACTGTTTAATACAACACTGAACAAGATTACAGCTGGCCAGGTAGTAGTGCCATATGCCTTTAATCTCAGCACTCAGGAGGCAGAAGCAGGCAGATCTTTGTGAGTTCAAGGCCAGCCTGATCCATAGAGTGATTGCCAGGATAGGCTCTAAAGCTACACAGAGAAACCCTGTCTCAAAAAACAAACAAACAAAAAGGATTATGGATATTGCCAGAATTTCCCCAGATTATGGTTAGAAAAATGAAAACATGTATGATAAAACTATACATAATAAACTACACATATATTTTACTATGATACATGGTGTGTAAATTTATAGGTACAGTACCTATAAATTTTATATCTAGGAAATGTTTCATAAAAATACTTAGCTAAATTTGAGGAGCTGTCTGCTATTTGAGGAGCAATAAGAAATAAGCAACCAGTTAAAAATTGTCACTGAAAGCAGGGAGTTAATTTCAGTCACATCTGTGCATGCTCAACTTAGAGTGTGTGTCTTTTAAGATGCAGAAAAGGAGGAAAATCTTTGATACATACCTTTTAAAAGTAGCAAACAGTCAATGGTCTCTGTACCACTCAAGAACAAGATATGTGCATTTTAGGGACACAAACAATGGGCATTGATATTATTTCCAAACAATCTACTGTATACTTATTCCTAATGTAGGAACTGTAAGAATATAATTTAGAAACCTACAGAATTGAGTTCAAATTCTAACTTGTGGTAACTTGGACAAACTTTCTAACGTTCCATGTTCTGAGAGAGAAGCAGCCTTGTGAAGTAAAGTGGGGCAACCTTCATTTCGTAAAATATGTCTCAGAAGTACCTCAGTAATATTCATCAAAATGATGATAAGAATAATTGAGATGGGGAGGGGTGTGCCCTAAGTTGATAGATAGAAGGATCACAGCATAGTAGTAGAGCATTTGTACACTAAACACTGTTGAGTGTGATCTCCATACGCTACAATACAAAAACAATAATATTAAAAAATTATTCTTCCAAAATCAATAAAATTATCTTTTAACACAGAAGCAACTTCCTAAGAATTATTTGAGATGATAAGTAAATATGAATTACACTTCTCCACAATGCATAATGTAAAAAGCATAAACACAGGCAGTAAATGATCTGGCTAAAGTAGCTGGGAAAGAAGACATGTTGATGCTATCTATTTGAGTGTATCCTGGTGCTCATTTCCATAATTAGATACATAATTATTCGCCTTAACCTCATCATCATAATTATGGATCCAAGTAATTTTACTTTATCTAAAAGCTCCACATAATGTCCAGCCCACACTTTGCAAAAATCAAATTACTGAAAGGAAACCCGGATGCAAAGGACTTCAGAATGTGCTCTGTTGCTATGACAATGCTTCTTTATAAAAACAACAGGGGACTCTCATAGCTCGTTCCATCCAAATAAATGTTAAGGAAGCAATATAACATTATCCCTGAGGAATCCAGGTTGCTCAGATCACCAAAACTTCTTTTGAAAGGACCATGAGGCTATACTGTTACCACAAAACCATGAATGTTGACATTTGTGGAAATAAAAGCCGTCTCATCTCTCAGTGGATAGACGGACTTGGGAAGTGTGCTGAAATGGGACCCAGAATGTTGACAAATTCAGTCTTCTCACTCTGGTCTTAAATGAGTCAGTATGCTGTCTTGGCCTGTTTTATTGTGTGTGGAGTCAAAGCTCTTTCGTCTTTGTTTTTCTCTGATGTGGTAGAAGGCAGACAATTCTTTGCTACCGGTTGGCACAAGTTCATACAGACACAAGTTAACAAAGAAGGGACATTTCCTCTTCCTGAAGGTCTGGTTGCTGAGACAAGTCTATCCTGACTGTGGCACTGGGATCCCCAGAGAATTCAAACACCTAGAGATACAGGGACATACTCGGATTTCTGCCCAGTAAACCCCAACTGAAAGGATGAAGGAGTCTTATAGATACTAAACAAGAAATTGACATGGACCTGAGAAAGAGTAGCCCCTGGGTGACAGCATCCTGTCTTTCATCCCTGCATTCAATCAGAGGACTTGACATATTTTTCTAATTACACGGAGAAGTTCCTAAATTCACCCTTGCAAAAGATGGGCAACTTAGCCATTTACCTCCCAGTCACATCCGTGAATCGCCTCTCTCTTATCATCTTGACTCTTGTTAGGGTCCTACTACCAAAGCTCTCCATGTTCTGCTGAAATATTTGTAGATGTTATTTTCAAGGGTGAAAGCTTTAAGAGTTGCAGGCAGTAGGTTAATATATATCTTCCAGTGTTCAGAAAATATGTCAGAATAGGCCAGTAAAATCACATTAGAAAACAGAAATAGAGGCTGGGTGGGCTCTGGTTTTCTTGTAATCTGTTTCATGTTGAAGCTAATCAAGTTGTTAAATATGTTACTAATGAATTCCCAGACTTCTCAGGTTGGAAAAATAAAAGCTGTAGTTTGGATAATGTAGCTGAGGTTCAGTCAGAAGTTGGGAGCCATAGGCTGAGTTTTTCTTTTGCTCTCAAATATTAGGCAGCTTCTGTGTGTGCATGGGATGAGATTTGAGTCTGTCACATGCTCTATGTGCTAGACAGGCTAAGAGCAGTAGCAATCCATTACTGGCCCCTTCATGAACATCAGGACACGCACTTAATTACTAGATTTTTGAAAAGGAAATCTCAGTTTTCTTCCTCTTGCCCATAATCCCCAGCTAATGAAAAGTGGAAGCCAGAAGCTAGATGTAATCCTAAAATGTCATAGAAAACTCTGTACAGGTTATCTGGGCCCCTTAAACATCTCTACAGCCTGACTCCAGTTTTCTTCTTTTGCTAAACACACTCAGATACATGTTCTGTCTATCATAGCACACATTAGTTCATGATGCTTGCTTCCAGTTTACCTTGTCATTTACCCAGGTCACACTTGGCTGAAGCAGGCAGAAGTCCTCAACCTTGAATTATGGCCCTTGCCTCTTTCTTTCACTCTGCTCCCTTACCATCACACATAAAAAAACTGCAATCCAAGATGGAGAGTTAAGTAAGCTGCAAAGAATTAGTTGTACTATAAATCAAGTTCTGAATCAAAGTTCTGACTTCAAAAACTCTCCTTCCATTACAATACACCTCTCTACTTGATATAAAATTCTAAAGATTATCAGAATCTAGCCATCTTTCCAAATCACTATAAAATCTGATGTGTCAGAGTCAAATCTAATAAGGACTAGCACTAGCCACTATCTGGCCTTGCTAAGTTAAACTTTTTAAGCTTCAGTTTCTTCTTAAATCAAATCAAAATATGGATAAGATACCCATGAAATTAAACAAGATACTATATTTAATGCCTTAGCAGAAAGCCATTGCTCAGTAACAGCCCATTAGTATCAGTGTTGCTAGTTGTCAGTTACCATCCTGGCACCATGTGATGGAATGGCATTTTGCATGTCTTTATCTTAGAGTAGCCACACCTTCATTTAATCATCTCCATGCATGTTTATGTCCCATTGCCTGAAGCTTCAGTTTTGTATGTGCAATAAGCAGGAAGAAATCCTCTGTTGTTTATTTTCTTAGGTCAGTACATGCAAGGTGTGTGTGTTTGTTGTACTATGGATTGGCCATTGTGTTTAATGCCATGCCATTCTTCCTGGCTGCATGCAGCTGCTGGCCAGCCTATCATTTCCTTAAAAATTACATTTAAATTATATTTTCCATTAAAAGGAGAATAATAGCCTTGAAGTCTTAGACTTGAAAACTCACTAATGGAGTTCTGCACAGTAGGAACAATCAAACACAATTGTGTGCACAGCAACTAAGAGCCAATTTGCCCAAACACATTTAAATTTGTTTTCACTAATAGGCAAAACCATTCGTCAGAGTAGCCATGAAGAAGGGACATGGAGCACCACACATGACACGTTTTCTACAGGACAGAATGCATCCACTATATTCTTTATATGAATATGTTAAATAAATTAAGGCACCGTGAATATTGCTTTCTTCTTAGTGTAGCTATTTAAGGGTTTGAGTTCAGTAATGACAGTGTACCCTTAACATATGTGGGGATTGGCTTTTGTTTAGTTTTTTAATCTACTATCTCTAACTTCAGCATTCACAAATGAAAGGTTAAATGAGAAAGTCAGGGTAGGAGCATGTGTGCAAAATAATGAAAGGATATTTTGTTCAGACAACTGTCAGGTTGATGTAACAAGAGGGAATGGCAGTGAGGAGTCCTTAGCATTTTCCCACTCATCGATAGAGTGGCTGGTGGCAGAACTGAAAAATAAAAGCCCCTCAGGGAAATATTTTAGGTAATGCAGGAAATAGAAAGTTCTCAACTTTTTCTACTTCCATCTTATTTCTGTAATAAGTAAAACCTTGTTGGTAACAATGACTTTTTTCTGACAAGGTTTGTTTTGTCATTATTCTGTCCATTATGCATAAACGTATCATGGCTTTAGTTTTGATACTTCTAGAGTACAGAAAAATTCCCAAAAATCAATTATAATTTGTTTCAATTAAGAAAATATGAGCCATATCTATTTCTTTTCTGTCTCTCATTAGAAAACAAACAGGCTTCTGAGGATAATAATAAAATACACTATACTACATACTAGATTATGTTATAATAAAACAAAAACGTCAGAATAGGATAAAAAAAAACAAGCTAAAGGAAAAGAACCCAAGAAAATGCATAAGAGACAGATGTAGATGTAGAGACTTATTTATTTGAAGTATCAGGAATCCCATAAAAACACAAAACTGGAAGCCATAATATATACAGAAAGTAGTTGTAGGATTAAAAAGAGATAAATAAATAAATATTAAGATAAAACTTAAAAAAATAAAATGCCCTGACATGACATACTGAGACAAAGAACTCCCAGTGATGCCTTTGAGCTTGTTTTCTTATGCTCATCTACTGTTGGGCATGCAGCCTTCACTTAAGAGTGGTTTGTTTCCCCAGTGAGACTCCCTTGGAGAAAACAATATTTTCTCTTGTAAGTGGTTAGCAACTGAGGAAAGCTTCGAGGTCAGGGATGGAGGCATTTCTCCATTTCTCCTCTCTGCTCTAGGGCACCACCTGGCTAGACCCATGCCAGCCCTTGTACATGCTGCCTCAGCCTCTGTGATTTAGTATGAGGAGAGGTGGAAAAAAATCGGGAGGAGTAGAGAGATGGAGAAATAATAATCAGGATACATTTTCAAGGAAAAAGTAAATTTTCAATAAAATAAAAAATAATGTCAATAGAGCTTGGAATGAATTGACCTGCATGTAGATCTTCACATATATAACAAATAGAGTATGCATAAGAAAGTCCATGCTACCCAGGTGGTGGCAGCACATGCTGTTAATCCCAGCACTCAGGAAGGAGAGGCAGGCAGGTCTCTGTGAGTTCAAGGCCAGCCTGGTTTACAGAGTGCATTCCAGGACACAGAAACAGAGAAACCCTGTCTCAAAACAAACAAACAAAAACCAAAAAAATAAAGCCCATGCTAATAAAAATGTATTTTTTATTTTAAAACAAAAAGAATGAAAGAAAAAAGCATAAGCCTATACAATGCTTACTAAAAAGTTTTTAAAAAATAAGCAAATTCTTAGAATTTCTAATTTAGATTAAATGAGAGGGAAACAGAACTTAATGTTTCTTTATGCCTCTAAGGTTTTGTTTACAATGCCATCTTGCCTCTAGTGAAGTAATGGGACTTTACAAAGTTCACACCCTCCCTATTCCCTTCCACCTGAAGACTGTACATAATGTGAGCTTTCACCTGCCCTGGCTTAGCTGCCTTCAGGAGTGAGTGATCGTTCCACCTTGCCCATCACACATCTGAAAGCTGCTCTGTTGTCTGTGGTAAACAGATATAGGTTGGAATTACAGAGGAAGAGGCTTTGGAAGAATGGGACAAAAGAGATGACCTTCACTATATCAAAATTATACCTGCTATTCAGTTTGCTATATTTTAAACTGATTTTCCCTTTGGCACCTGGATTGTGTTAAGTGGACTGATAACAGTTGATTTCTAAAAGTCCATTTTGAATGATTCCTTCCATCAAAAGTAAGTTTCCAGAATAAGTTTGTGACAATTTCGATATGAAAAGGGAATGTCCTTGATCTCTCTGAAAGAAAAACATTAATTTAAACTTCTAATCACATATGCAGAAATTATTCTACATCCTAAACTAATGTTTCCCCTCTTCTTTTTTCTCAAGACCAAAGGTTAATGTGCTCACAAACTCTCCATCCACAACATTAATGATTTCAATCATTTCCAAGTTACTTCAAGACTCATGTCTTCTAGAGAAACTGAAGGACAGTGTTTATTTGCTAAGTAACAGTTCCAAATGATAATGGACCCAGACTGTCTATCGGCAGAGTGTATGGTGTAGATCTGATAAGGAATGCTGTGTAATTGCTTGATAAGGGCAAATCAACTATCTTTAGATGCCAAAATAATTATAATATTTCAGTAAGAACGATTCCAACATCTCACGCTGAGATCTTTTGCTTTCACAAATAACACATATGTAACATCAATGTGGGAGGAGCACATTACTGCCTCTGCCTACTGTAGTTCAGGCTCCCACCAGAGGAACTGTGTGCTTTTCCTATTCAATGGCCATAATTTGATGTTCTTGTAACAATTAAAAATAATATGTTTAGGTCTCACTAATCATGTGTGCTACTTTCTGTGCTGAATGGTATAAGATTTGTTCCTTGTGCATCAGTTAACTTTTATATCATAGCTGAATTAAACATGCACTAACTCAGCTTGACAGGAAAACAAGTCCCGTAAAGGTTAAATGCTCCTAGTGTTTGGCATCAGCTAGGTAATGCCACAAAAGAAGATAAGAGAAACAAAGAAGAGAGTTTCATCCCTTTTGTTAAATACACACTATGAAGATCCAATCACTGTAATAGTCAACTGTAGTGACAAATATATTTTAAAGATAGGATTTGTATTCATGGAACTGTTACTCTGAGCATCTATGAGTCTCCTTGTTGCCAGACAAAAAGCAAGTTTGGGGAGGAAAGAGTTTATTTGCCTTATACTTTCAGATCACTTCCATCACTGATGGAAGTCAGTCCAGAAATCCAAGCAGTCATCCAAAGCAGAACACATGGTGGGACACTGCTTGATGGCTCAGTGTCTGACTCAATAGCTAGTTTTCTGATACTGCCTAGAAATAGTACCACCCATAGTGGGGTGTGTCCTTCACATTAACCATCAATCAAGACATTCCTTTACAGACTTGTCCAAGTCCAGTCGTATTTGGGAAATCCCCCATTTGAGACTGCTTCAGATGCTGCTAGGTTGAGTCAAGTTGACAGAAGAAGCTAACTAGGACACTCCTATATGTGATGATATATTGTTTATGATCTACTGAAGCTTACCTGAAGATCAAAAGCAAAGCTAGCCACAGCCATAGAGGCCAGGCAGTGGTAGCACACACCTTTAATTCCAACAGTCACACTAGTTAGCCATAGAGGCTGGGTGGTGGTTGTATATGCCTTTAATCCCAGCACTAGAGAGACTATACAAGACAGGAGTTCAGGGTCTCATGCAGCATTCAGTCTCCAGCCACACTGAGGATTCGTGAAGACAGGATCCCTCTTTTAGTCTGAGATAGAGGTAAGATCTAGTGACTTGGCTGCTTTGCTTTTCTGATCTTCAGGCATGTTTCATTAGATCATAAACTATAGGTCACCGCACCCATAGCAGTTGTGTGAGTGTAAACCAGTCATAATGATGCACCTCTGGAATCCCAGTGATGTTTGAGGCAGGAGTATCGTGAGTTCGAAGCCATATTAGTTTACATAGTGAGATCCTATCTCAGAAATCATCCATGAAAGTAAAAAAGGGTAAAAACCTATTTGTGTGTTCTCATTTTGTATCTGTTAAGTGGATAGCTGGCCATTGTAAAGTAATTTTTCTCTCTGTTCTAGTTTGTGCCATTCAGGGATTATATGGACAGAAGTGGAAACCACATATTGAGCATGGCTAGATTGGCGTGCCATTCAGGGATTATATGGACAGAAGTGGAAACCACATATTGAGCATTGACAAAGATGTCTTAGCTGAGATCCCTGAGCAGTTCCTCTCTTACATGAGAGCCAGAGGAATCAAGCCATCACCTGCACCTCCTCCATATACCCCACCTACACACGTGCTGCAGACACAAATATGACTACGTCCAGATGCTGATGTTCACCACACATCAGTCAGAACTGCTGAGCCTCTGTTTTGCACCTGGTGCTCTGCTATGAACCAGGGAACGGGACACTTTCTCAGTTTGGTTTCAGCAGTACTCGACAAATGTGCTTTCTTGGATCCAAAACTAATTCTCTTCCTAAACCAAAACTGTAAATAGGGTGGTTGCATGAGCAACAGGAAAATTGTTTAAATGCTTGAAGCAAAGTAGAGATGTCTTCTCTAATTTTCAAAAACTTTTGTTTTGTTCTTGACAGAATAGCAGATTTCCAATGTATTATTGGGACAAAGCACAAGTTGCATTTTTAACACAAATATTGTCATCGACTGCTATATACATATATGGGACAGCAGTCTCTGTATCAATGTTTACATGTTACTACTTTTTAAATTTCAATACTTTTATAACTGTTCTTAAGAATAAGTTTTGAATATTGAATCCTTTGTCTTCTAAATCGCAATAGCTATAATCACAAGAGCAATATCTCTTTGAATGACTGTCTGGACACTCATGGTATGAATAATAGAAAAGTAGGAGGAAAAAAAATCTATTTACTGATTAATATCTGTCCTCAGTTTTGACCAATAGTGGGGGTTTAAAGTTATAAACAGATGTGACCTTGTAAGAATACACATTTTTCATGGACTTTGGGTTTAAATTTAGACTGACTGCAGTCAACTTATGTTTTATAATGCTAAGTAGAAGCAATGAAAAGGCAAACATAGTGAATTGTAAATGCACAGAACATACTTTGTATAAAAACTACCAATTATTAATGCTATCTAACAAATAACACCAATACTCTTACTCCAAACCATGTAGCAGGTGTTTTGAACTTTGTATTCAGTTGTATCCTGTCTAGATACTTTAATTCAAAGGGATACTGACTCTCTTGCTTGAGATTTCTTGTTCTCACCATTCCACTTTGCCACACGGGTTGCTCAGGCTGGAATCTCTTGTGAATTCTCAGTTCAACATACACAACCCTGTGACTTAGCACATAACACATTTGTGAAAGAAATTCGTTCCTGTCCCCTGATCTGCCTGTTTGCAAAATAGCCCCTCCCTGTCCCCTGGCCTGCCTGCTCACAATCAATTCTAAATAGTTTTCAATGTACAGTTTTGATACGAATTACAGTTTTGTGACATTATGTCTAAACTTCTTTAGAACAAATGGCCTTAAATTCTCACAGAATTCCTGGAAATGATTGTGAATTGCCTTCAACATACAGAGATGTGTATTTATTTATTGTTCTTTTTGTGTCCACAGTGTGACTGCTTTATAACCTCTCTATCTTCCCCTCTTTGCTACTTGGAGTATTCCTACCATGTGTTCTCTTGTCACAACTTGATGAATAGTGACTTTTATAAGCATGAAGATGTTTTATTGGAAAATAATGTATAATCCTCACAGATAACAGACTCACAGTCGCATAGCTGTGATGTGAATTGTCCATTTTTAAGTACATATTAAAATCTTTAAAAGGGTAGCTGTGTTGTGTACATTTCTTGGTCATCGTGGAGTCTCCTGATTTTCTTTGCTGATCTCAAATATTTATGCCAGTCTATTTTTATTAGCCTACATATTTTTTTAAAAAAAGTTAACTCCATTCTTCAGTCCAAAAGATGAGAGCAAATGAGATCAATATTCATTCCTTCTTGTCAAACATCAGTTATTTTCCTTGTACTGACAAGCACCACATTCCTGTCTGAATGATAGTGTGCTCCCACAGAGTAGGACTGGATTCCAGGTGTATAACAGCCTCAGTGAAGCATCATCCTATAACTGAGAAGAATAGTTGGGGAAATATATAGCCTTAGGTCTCTGTGTAAGATTGGGACAGTCTCGCCTTCTCATTAAGAATGAAGATTGCATAAATAATCAGATGCAGTGATTCATATAAAACTGGGATCATGCTCACGGTCTTTGTGAAACATCTGTTGTATCAACTTAATTTTTTTGAGTTGCTAGTAGGTATGGTGCAGTGGGAAGTCCCAGGAACATGTTGCATGAATTCAAACATGTGTCAACAGCTGCAGTGACAAACTGCACATCAAGGCCACACAGACCTTAGACAAGAATCATCACAAGCGTCATGGAGAGAAGAGTGACAGAGCCAAGTCACCAAACCTGGAGTGAATGCTGTGGAAATTCCCATGATTCGAAGTGCCTTCCTCTTCCTACTCCCATGGCTTGCAGTGCCGTCCTCTTCCTAATCCTATTCCCTCCCTCCCTTCATGATGAAAGCCTTAAGTTACCATGTTATCTCTAGAATGAACTCCCTGGCTTCTGTCCCATTATTCCCATCACCCACCCATAACAAGTCATGTGCCATCAATCTCCATTGCCTCCTAAAGGGGTATTAAAATTATGCAGGCCTGTGCTTCACTTTTCTCTTACCCATCCAGTCTCTCTGGGGTCTCAGCCACAGTGCTGCCCTCAGTAATTAACTTGTATCACTGATAAACTACTTTCTAGAACATCTTGTTTCCCTTTCCTTATGGGATATGGGTTGAATGGCACCTGAATAGAGATGAAGTTTAAAGGATTCCGAATTTATTGTGTAGCAGCTAGGATGAGAATATATTGGATGTCTTAATTGCTACTGTTAACCCTTCCTTCCAGTATGTAATGCCAAGATAAAAGGAGGTAGGTCAGGACTTTGGAAGCAATCTTGGTTCACAGATTATTTGTTCTTTACACTTAATTGAGATTATTAGTTGGATCATGCATTTATTTATTCATTTACTTTGGTTTTTGAGACAGTGTTTCTCTAACAGCTCTGGCTGTTCTGGAACTCACTTTGTAGACCAGGTTGGCCTTAAACTCACAGAGATCCACCTGCCTCTGCCTCTTAGTGCTGGAATTAAAAGCATGTGCCCCTACTACCCAGCTGATGAATTTTTTGTAATGCTGTAAAGAGTTAAATTACAATATTTGTTCACATATTTATTTGGCTTTATTTTTATAATTCATAAATCTAGGTAGCCTCCATTTTATAAAACAGAATGAGAATTGAGAATTCTCAGTAATATCAATATTTGATTTTATAGTGGGGACAAGAACCCCCCCAAAAAAAGAAAAAAGAAATGAAAATACCACAAACAACAAATCTAATTGTCTAGCAGCAATTTCCTAAAAGAGAATTGCCTGATTTGCCTGATTGTGGTTTAGAGAGACTTGAATTTCACAGTTTCTGGAAAAGTCATCTATCTTGAGATTTGTCTCAGTTTCAGTTTGATTGTGCAGCACTGAATGTGAGTGACAACATGTAGGGTTTGTCTGATGATGCCAGATCCAGAAGGAGTTCAGTCTAAAGCCATGGGCACCATCATTTTGCTCAGCATCCCCAGGACATGTCAGCTTTGCCATAAAGAGACTTCTCACAAAAATGAGTCTATTTCTCAGAAGATCTACCACTGCCAAGCCATCTGTTGAGAGCCTAACTCTGCTTAACAGCTAGTGTTCTTTCCATTGTTCCTCTTGTGTTATTTACATCAATACAAAAGAGCAAGATATCTAATTACAATCTCTTTCCTAATCAACCAGTTGAGTTGAAGACCAAATTGGTTTCCTTCAGTGTCAGTGTGTGTGGTTTAATGAAGAGAATCTTGGAAGAGAGAACTCTACATGTAGACAGCTTCCCATGCAAAGTATGTCATTGGAGTGTGAACCAGAACGTGCAGAAATGCACCTAAGAATACACGGATTACACCTCACAAAACCTGGAAACCTGGAGCATATTGCACTACCTGCAGGAAGCTCATCATGTTGAGGAGGATCCTAACTCAGTTGGTCTGAGTCTCTTCCAGGTAACTTAGCTGGTCTCTGATCCTTCCAGGTAGCTTGGTTGATCTCCATCTTCCAAGATGGTCTGGTCTGGTCTCTTCTCAGCAGCTCAACTTGTCTGGACTTGCCTGCCTCTCAGCAATCTTTTCTGCTACTATCTGCTCTGGAAGGAAGGACCCCAGTGAATCTTGTCAGTTTCAGGAACTTCCTGAAGTGTTGGAGTTGCTTACTTTTTGAGTTTAGTGAGTTTCCCTGCAGGATAGAAAGCTTCACCTCCCTACAGACAACCTTTGGCTTAAAGAGCTTCTTTACAACATGAAAAGTTTTTTTCTGGAGAAATTGCTGTCCATCAGTCTCTTTTCTTTCTATAGCTATGATTCACAGAGTTGGTCTTTCTGTAATGTTCCAGAGTTTCTGCACACAACTGTTTTGGTTGTTCTTTTTTGTTTGTTTGCTTGCTTGTTTACCTGCTTGGTTTTTGTTTTGTTTTCAATTAACATTTTTTTCACTGACCTTTAATCCACTACTTGATATTCTGTCTTCCACTTGATTCATCCATCATATTTTTGGGGTTGTGCTTTTTATTTGACTTCTTGAATTTTTCATTTTGACTTTTATTTCAGCTTAGCTTGTCTTCAGAGATTCTATCTTTCTATTAAATTCTGTTTTCACAGCTGAAAGAATTTTCTTTATCCCATTTAACTATTCTTTTGTGGTCTTCATTCTCTTATTTATGCATCTCCCCTGTAGGTTCCTTAACATGTTTATGATTGGTATTTTGAAATCATTGCTTTGTGCATCAACTAAGTTGCTCAGAAAACATTATGATGGGGGTGCTAATATCTGGAGGAGACATATTGCTTTAGTTATAAATGTGCTTTGGGACTCAAACCTAGGCATCTGGAATTAGTTGTTGGTGTTCCTTGGTATAGATATATGGTACCACCTTTATCGAATGGGTGTTTGGAATTTCGTTGTGCTGTTACCCCCACTTGGCAGGTTGTCTAGATGAACAGTGCTTAAAGCTTAGTCTTGGGTCAGTTCTGTGTTGATGGTGAAAGTGGTGTGAGAAGTAGTTCCAGCTCCGGTAAAAACAGGTGCAGCTTCTAAACCCCAAAGCAAATCTTCTGTAGCTAGATTTTTCTCACTGTTGATTTCTCACAAGTATGTCACAGATTCACTGGCTTCTATAAATGATCCTTAAATAGCAAGTTCTGCAGTCACACTGGGAGAGATAGGTGCTCTCTGGAGGTAGGGTACAGGATGCCAAGCTATCCTATGGAGAAAGTGGGTGGGTGGAGGTCAGGCTGGCCATCCAGACATGGCGTTGGAATCATAAAATGCCACATGTTCCTTAGGAAGTGTGGTGATCAGAGTGGCTGGCAGACGAAAGATAGTCTGTCTCTGGGGGTCGCTATCTGTAGTGAGCTTAAGAGGTGTCATGTGTTTTTCAGACAGCACAGAGGTAATGTGGCATGAAGATTGCTTCTGGGGCTTCCTTTTTAGGGTATTACTCATGGGATGGCAATTGGTTCCCAGGTAGTGTGATGGATGGCTTGGCTGGTGAAGAGTCAGACAAACAGAATGGCTCTGAGGGTCTGTTTGTACGTGATCCGGATCAGGGAATCTTATTGGTAATTATACATAGTAGCTGATATGATACATGGAGTTGTCTGCTTACCTCGCACTTCCTCATCAGCCTACCACCAAACCCAATGCATCACCATGCATTTATTTTCTAGGCTTTGGAGATATTCTGCATTTCACCATGGAAAATGCAAAATAATTTAAATTTTTGCTTATTTATATCTAAAGCAACAGTGGCCAAGACTTCATGATTTTATCATCAGGAAGTTGCTCACTGATATAATTTCCATGAAACAGGCCTGCTGGGCATTTATAATGTATTTAGAAGCGTTTATTCCCTACAGATAGGATTGCTGTTGAAAGCATGCATATCATTGAGTTTGTACTTTATGAGGAAGGGTGAAGAAAGGAAGATGCTTAGAACTGATTTAAAAATAGCTTCCCCTACCCCCATCTCCCTCACCTTTCAAAATAAGTGAGTTAGTAAATTACAAGAATGATTTTCTTGTGTTTACAAAAAAGAATCACCTTAGTAATTCTTATACTTTACACAAGAATGCCTTTTGTCTTTTCCTCCCTCCCCAGCGCCTCCTAGATCCTCCCTATCTACCCAAATCCAGACGTCACCCTCATTAGAAAAGAAACAGGCATCTAAAATTATAAAGAAGGGAAAATAATAATAAGATAAAGTGAAACACACCTGAATAGGACAAAATAAGCAAATGAATGGAAAGAGGAAATGGAACAAAAGGAAAAGCACAAGTGACACCCTATAGACCCAGAGACTGGCACATTTGCACACCCAGAAGTCATGTGAAGACACAAAATCAGAAACTGTAACATATAAACCAAGCACTTAAATGTTTAAAGAAAAAACCCCAGACAAAGCATTATGAGACAGACAATTTTCTAAAACTGTAACTGATTTGTTTTGTGTTGACCATCTACTGCTAGGCACAAGTCCTGCACTCAAGTGTGTTTTGCATACTCATTGAAAGTCCATTGAAGAAAACTAATTTTTCCTTTGCAAGCAGTTATCAGTTGGAGACAGCTTCTAGGTTAGGGATGGGTACTGGGACCAGCTCCAGCAGTTGGCAGATCCCTAGAGAATGC